ATAGAGATACTTCAAATCTGGAAAACCTTCAGCATTTAACTCATCAACCACGTTCTGTACACCTGCCAACTCCCTTAAATGTAGCTCTTCAGTCATCTTCAACAACATTTTAACTGAATAGTTAAAACTAATGGATGCATTTAAATGCAACTTCAATATTCTTGAGCTTCCAAAGGAACTATCCTGGTCTTCCCACTTAGGTCCAATAAAGATCTCGAATCTTTTCAAATTTTCAAAGAAGAAATCTTTTGGGATCATTTGAATATCAGGAATGCATACCTCTAAATTAGTTAATTTCTTCAAATGCTTCAACTCAGCAAGGCTCGCATTTCTTTGATTATCATTTTCCTCAACCCCCCATCCATCGAAGGCTTTTCCCAGGTACAGTTCCTCTAATCTGGACATCCTTGCCAAGACATGCTGCGGAATTATTTTTAGTTCAGAGCAGCAACTCAGATCTAACAACTTTAGCTGAGTCAACTCGCCAATTTCCCTTGGTAGCTCTTCAATATCAGAACCACTAATGATCAGAATTTCTAAATTCTTCAGCTTTCCAATAATGCTTATGTCTCCCAACGAGCAACCATAAAAACATAATGTACGGAGGACTTTTAGGAGGCCAATTGATGAAGGTAGGGAAGTAAAATGCATTTCAGCCAAATCCAGTACCTTGAGTTCCTGCATTCCCTCGAAAAATTCTTCTGGAATTTTCAGAGAAGCTTCATTATTTTCCAAACTAAAAAAGGTAAGCTGACGACCTTCAAACACATCAGGAAGCCCATTAATATTAGCATTTTGCAGCCTAATCCATTTGAAACCTTTCATTTCCTTCCTGTCTGACCACTCCTTCGGTTCATGATCACCTGTTAGCAGCAACCCATGACGATCCCTACTTGCAATTGATACAGCCACATCATGAATAAGGTCATGCATATCAAAATAATTACTGTCAGAATTATCAATGAGCAAAGAAGAGGCTCTGAGCTTGCTTATCAAAGTAAGTACTTCATTTCGTGCTTGCTCTATGGTGTTAGCAAATAAGCCTAAGCCCACACCAACCATCAACAAGTATTGAATGGAATACCCGTGACCGATTAGGCAACAAAGCAAAAATGTCTTCTTGAGCTTCTCGCTTTCCAAATGAGAGTAACTGAGCTCAATAGCAGAATAAACACTTGCAGATATGTCATCAAAGTTTTCTGAAGAGGGCCTTTTTAGTATTCTCACAGCATCCATCCATTCGTAAGGCTCCTTATTTTTCAAAGCCTTTGCCATTGTTGTAATTGCAAGGGGCAAGCCCCCACATTCCCGGACAATCTCAATGGCTGCGCTATGTATATCATCTCTCTCTGCTCGGTCACCGACTATCCTTTTAAGCAACTCCCATGCTTCTTCATATTTTAATTGATGAAGTAGAAAGTTTTGTTGAGAACCCATCAGATCTGATAAAACATTAGCATCTCTGGAAATTACCAGAATTTTGCGTTCTGCATATTCTTCTCTTAACGAGCCCCCCTCAATCCATTCCGCATGTTCTTCTCTTGACGAGCTCCCCTCAATCTTTTTTGGCTCGTTTCTAAGAGGAATTCCAAGCTCCTCCAAATCTATTCCAGGCCTCCAAATATCATCCAAAATGATTAAAACCTTCTTCATTTTCTTCAGCTTTCTCTTAATATGATCGGCAGCCTCCTGAGTTGTAATTCCATTAGGAAGCTGACCTAGACCCAAGCCACGGGCAATTTCCACTTGAATCTTCTTCGAGTCTGCATTCTTTGAAACAAGAGCCATAACTACCACATCGAACAGCTGGTCTTGCTCTGCTTTCCTTTTAACTTCATTGGCCAGCATCGTCTTCCCCACGCCAGGCATCCCGTGTACCCCTATAATGCTGCTGATTTGACTTTGCAGTGCTTCCATGATCCTCTCCAGAACATCCTTTCTTGAGCGAAAGCCCACGAAATCTTTAACAGGGGCGACCACTTCT